GAAAAGGAAAAGGCTATTTCATGAAGCTTTGCTAAGCTGGTGTACCTAGAGACGTTCTTATCTTGGCCATAAAGGCAGGGCTTGCAAGGGCCTCAGATATATATATGCTTAGGCATATTTTTGGGGGGAACTTCTACCAGTGAAGACCTGTGTTTGCAGCTTGCAGAGAGGCTCTTCAGGATCCCTTAAGCAAGCAAGCTCCCTTTTTCATGCCGCTGCATGAATTTTGCAGCCCATCACTACTGCAAAAGATAATGTTTCCAGCCATACTTCTGCCCTTGTCCTCTCTTGCTGGCACCTCTGCTAGCTGTGGCAGTGGCTGGCATTCCTGGGCTGGCATTTTTTTCTTTCACAGTTGTGCCAGAAGTGCATATCCCAGGCCTGCTCCCTGCTGTGCCAAGGCAGATTGGCTTAATCAGACTATGGTAAATCTGTTGTTAATGTTTCACGCTTCACTGGACGTGCCAATTGTAGCTGCTGTGATTGCACCCCTGCTGCTTATTTGACTGTCTGGTGGCTCTTAGCCAGGTCCAGGAGATGGGAAATCAAGTTAATTTGTAGCCGTGAACGTAACATTAATCTTACCTTTCATTTTTGGGGGCATAGGATTAGGGAATAAGGAAATAGATTTCTTTCCCCCTTAAATACGAAGCCTGTTGGTGAGGGGGAATTGTGAGTTTGTGCATTGTCATTGGGGGCATCCTATTTCTCAGCACAAACCCAGGACACATAATACCTAGTAATGAGTGTGCTGGCATCATGCTGAGACTGGGCAGGGGATGAGGACTAGCACTGATGATGCTTCATTTCTGACCATGCTTGACTGGTCTGCATCTCCAGTTATTTCTTAGTTGCCTCACTGTTGGATGCGTGTCTTCAAGGGCAGAGGGTTGCTTTCCTTGGCCTCACTTGCAACTGCGGTCATGTTTGACTTGGTGCCATGGGCGCTGGGTCTAGTTTTGAGGGAGTGCTCTGGACTTGCTAGGGAGTTGCAGGTGTCCCCATCTCTTGCCACCTGGCTGGCTGACAGCACTTCATTGTTTTCGTAACGGGATGTTCTCATCTTCCTCTGCATGTTGTTCTCAGGCTGATGGGACTTGGGAATAATGTGCTCCGATGAGTTGGAGATGGCCAGCCCAGCCAAGTTTCTGACAGTGACGAAAGGTCTTCTTGCGCCGTCTGCCCTGCCAGCAGCTTCAGCAGCACAAAGCCAGGGCTGTGTACTCCAGCCGGCCATTTGCGGGTTTGTAAGAGCAGCTTAACGGGAGTATATACGTAGCCAAGTGGCTTCTTCAGCAGCGCATGAATGAATCCAAATGTGTGAGCAAACTCAAAGCTTGCTGCTGCCTCACCAGCCACCTCCGTGCTGTCTCCTCTGTGAGATGGGGACACCTCGGAGCCCAGACATTTGGGGGGGTCCAGTGGGCATATAATTAATAACCACCCAGTTTCTCTCTCTTTGTACTGGATCTTGATGAGATAATCATCACTGTTTTAAGACCCAGCCCCTGTATTCATGTCTAGGCCCTGCAACTTGGTGACTTGTCACGGAGCTTTGTCCCTGTGTGCAGAGCCAGGTACAGCCTCAGGTCTGGTGCTACGAGGCTGTGTTAGGGCTGGCACTGGATCTGAGCTAGGCTACTGCGGGTCATGAGCATGTGGGGGTACCCTGGCAGTGTGTGCTGAGCTTCAAGTAGCACAGACCTGTCCTAAAAAGCCAAAACAACTCAGACAGGAGCCTTGGTCCCTGCTTTACATCTGTCATCCAGAAGCTTTCAGCTGTGGCCCATGAAAAAGTGAGGACCAGAGAAGTTTGCTTTGTTTTCCTTATTTTTGTTTGACTTTGAAGACCCCTGGACTACTTCCAATAGATCTGTGGAGAAGCAGCTAGAAGAAGCAGGACAACACAGCATGTGGCCTTTGTATTTTGAGTCTTGGCTTTCTCTAGAAAGTTTTTGGTGGTCCGTCAATCCACAAGGGTTAAACAATCATTGCTTAATTGTAGGAAGTAAGTTCACCAGAGGACATGGGACTTTTTTGGGGTTGGTGCAAGACTGACAAGAGAAGAGCAGCAATGTTCTACAACCGTCCTCCCACTTTCTTGCCTGTATGCCAGGCGTGTTTCTGTCACCCTGTTTTTTCCCAAACAAACAGAGAAGTGTGTCTGGGTGTGGGTAGAACAGAGTAAAAAAACTTGAAGTTCTCCTCTGCACGTGTGCCTCTCTGGGGAGGATGGAGCAAAGGTCTGCCAAGCTCCATCAGCACCATGACCAACAAGGCAGAGCTCTTGAATACCACTGGGACCAGAGCAGTGTATGAGCCTGTGCAGAAATGAGTTGGGAAGGGCCGGGATGCAGTTTCATAAGCATTTCTTACAGCAGCAATCTGTATGCAAAAAAATACACAGCTCTGAAACGTTCATCTTTGCTCCTGTGCTGCCCGCCTTGTCTTGCTAGTACAGCTGTTTGGGCAGCTGTGCAGTGGCCTTGCTCAGAGACCTATTGCAGTTAAAAATAACGCTTCCCTCTTTTTTTTTTTTTTTTTTTTTTTTTTTTTTTTTTAAAAAAAAAAAAAAAAAAAAAAAAAAAAAAAAAAAAAAAAAAAAGTTCTAGGAAAAATATTAAACCCTCCCAAAATACACCTTCCCTTTTTTTTTTTTTTTTTTTTTTTTTTTTTTTTTTCTAACTGTCGGGAGCAAGTGCTGCTTCTTGAATAAATGCTGGTGAAAGCACAGCCCTAGATTTGGATAAGCTGTATAGGGTTCTGTGTTGAGGTGTCTTTGCTTAGATCTGAACTGATAGTAGGGCTCAAACCTCCGAGTTGAAGGTGCTCTTCCAGCAGGCCAGACGGTGCTTGCTGTAAGTAGAAGGTGGATGTTCCATCATCATGCTGCAAAGCTGAATAGTATTAGGGACCACCGAAATAAAGTGTCTCTGGGCAAGATCCTGTGCCCTGTCCCATAAAAACATGTGTTCCTGGACCCCAGACACCCTGGGTGTGTCACCTGTGAGTAGCAGCACTGCCTGCTGCTCAGATGTGGTTTTCCCAGTTCTGTAGCTAAAGGCAGCGTTTCTTTATTTATACACAAATGCTCATTGGATGTGTTTCAGTGCTATTTAGTGTTTTGTATCCTCTTTCCTTTTTTAAAAGAAGTTGCAATAAAAAAAACAAAGCCACGATAAAACCTTAATTGCACCATCCAGAATTGTACATGCTTAAAGTGAGTCACTATGGGATCGTATAACCGTAATCTTTGTCCTCATCTCCACCCTGCTGCTTGTCACCCTCTTTCCCTGAAGTGCTGCTGTAGCTTCTAGGAGCTTTTGTCATCTGTAGATCACTCTCCAGTGCAGGAAGATTCAACCAAAAATTCTATTGAATATGATAAACACTTTATCCTTTATCTGATCTCTCGGTACATTCAACTAGAAACTCTTCTAGATATTTTGGGGAAATACCTGGGTTCAGAGGAAGATCTTGATGCTTCTCTATTGCAGCATGTGCATGAATGTGAGAAGAGGGAAGGCTTGTGCGACTGTGGCTCGGGAAGACACGTCTGCCTTCTGCTTTCCTTGTAGTATTTTCCACCCTTTATGATGATGGAAATGTTTTATTTTCCCTGACTCTGAAACTTTCATAAACAGGTTCCTCATAAATTCCCCGTGTAGTTTTGGTACATTCTCAGGGATTTGGGGTTATTTTCACTTTCTCTTCTAGGCTGTTGCTGTGCTCAGCTAAAGAGAAACCCTGGTCTTCCCCAGAGGTTTCTCCCATGGAGCACAGCAGCCATGGCTTGTACCTCCCTCTGCAGCTTCAAAAGCACCTTGTAATTTTCCGGTTTGTGCCGTATGTTTCAAATGGGAGAGATCCCCTCTTGGGTCCTGTTAAGCTGCTTAGCTTGTCACATCCAGGAGAAACAAGTGTCAGACCTCCTTAGTCTCAATTATTCAGTGCTTCTGCCTTAAAATCTGCTTGAAGCAGATGGGGACCCTGTGTACAGCAGATGTGCAGAGCAGGACTCTGTACCCCCCTACTGCAGTTTGAGGGCACAGGGCAGCTTGTCCTTGGTGCACCAGGAAGCTGATGTGTAGCTACCACCAAAAGACAACCTGATGCTGTGTGTAGGTCCCTGTCCCGATGTATATGTGGCTTGTGTTTTGTTGTCCCGCTGCCTATCATAACAAGTTAAAAATAAACGTTGGTGTTTTTCTACAGTGTGGGGAGAGCATTCCTTTGAAAGTTCAAGTGCGAAAGTGATAGGCATGGGCAAAAATCTGCTGCTTTCAGGCTGGTGCTAAAAGGAACTCGTCCCCTTATCATTTAGCCTGCCTCCAGGTTGTTTTCAGTGTTTTTTTAGGAAGCTGTGCTTATTCCTGCTGCTAATGCTGTGGTTGATCCCATGTCGGGGTTTTAGGTACATAGCCAGCATCTGCACTTGAAAAAGTCAATGAAGCTTACAGGAGACAACTGTAAAATGATTCCTGAGCCAGTAGAAGTGCCTTGGAGCAAGAGCTGCAAAGCTCAATCTACTCAGGTCTGTGGAGGTCACAGTGTGTTATGTATCTTTGTGGGGAGAAACTGCTACTCTGAGTCTTCAAGTTGGCAGAGAGTCATAGTAAGCACAAACACTTGACCTTGGATTTAGTTTAACATACTCACCGTGGGCATTGGTATAAATCTGGGTGGAATACAGGGTTTTGTATGCGAAGTCTGATCCAGTGGTGGTGTGGGCAATTCTGGTCTTAAACTAAAGAAGCGGAGGTGGAGGGGAGAGTGGAGAAGGCTTGTTATGCAAACAGGGACAAAGAAGTAAGTGCTTGCAGAAATAGCCACAGGTGCAGGAGGGGAAGAAAAACCACAAGTCCAGACCTTGGCTGGTAGAAAGCAGATGTGTCAGATGTCTTTGTATATGTATTCTCCCCCAGCCTCCATATCTCTTTTGATGCTTTTTTTTTTCCTTCTCCTAATGCTAATTCTTTTGGCTTTGTTTCCCTCTCCAGTGTGTCGAGACTTTGCCGTTCTGGAAGATCATACCTTGGCCCATAACTTGCAGGAGCAAGAGAGTAAGTAGCAATGATCTTTGGAACAAACTGAAGCAAATTTTTCCCAACAGATATCTGGCTTTGGTTTTGCTAAGAAAAATCCTCCCTGCTTTTATTTCATTTTTATTCTTTTTAATGGAATACAGGTTGTTATTACTGTCTTCAGTGTCCTGTAACACTACTCTGTGTTCTGCCCCAGCTCACGTTGTATCCTAGAGATAGTTGCATTTCATTTTTCAATTTCGTGCTCTCTTTCAGAGTTGAGTTTATGCCATTTATGATAAAATTGCATGTGGGAGTGCACTTGAAGTTTTGTTGCTGTGCAAGGTTTTTAGAAATGACTAGCAATTTTAGAAGCTTCAAGTTTTATAGGCTGACCTGAGGTACAACCAGAAGAGGTCTGTTTATTTACTTATTTCAGAACTGCTAGTGCCTGTCTTTTGAAAGGAGGCTTCCTCTTAAGACATTTTGAGGTAGTGCAGCTGTACACTCCATGGGTTTGAAAAGGAGAAAAAAAAATACAGCCAGGAACTTCAAAGTGACTGGTGATATTTTTTTTTTTTTACATGCTTATCTGTTACTTGGGGTATGTTTGCATTGCAGTTTCAGGTGTGGTGGCCTCTCTAATCTGCTTTGTTGGGTGCCAAGACCATTGGTATCTACCAGTACTAGGTGCTAATACTGTTCCAGCTATTCCACCAGGCGTGCAGCTTCTGCAGAAGTTGTGCCCTTGCTGCTGGAACATGAGACCACTGAACTGAAGCTGGCTTTCAGCTACAGCTCGTGTAGCCATTTTTTCTTGCAGGCAGTATCCATGTATGGTAAAGGACTCACTGTAGTATTCAGTTGCTAATTATAAAGGCAGTGAGATTTTGGAACTGGTTATGTTGAGAGTGAGAGGAGTTTCCTCATCTGAAGGTTCTTGAGAACAGTTTAGGGAAGCATCCATCAGAAGTGGTTTAGAGTCAACTCATCCTCACTGATCTCTGGTGGTCCCTTCCAGGCCTTTATTAATCTAGGGTAATTTCCTGTGGCCAGACAATGAAATTCAAAGCCTAAAAAACATTCCTGATAAATCTGGATGCGATTAAAATATGCAGATCTTGTTTTGGTAACAGACACGTGTGTACAGCCCCCTCAGTGCTGAAATGAGGCAATCTCAAGCTGCTAGCATCATTTCAGTTCAGGACTTCCCCACCTTTAGAGATATTACATGATATTTCCCTGCCAAGAGCTGTCTTCCTTCCTGGCCTGGAATCTCCCTCTCACTTGCTTTTTCTTGTTCACATAGTAAAGTTCTGCAGGCTGATTTGGGGGTTCTTGTCTGTGTTTATTTCCAGTTGAGCATCATTTGGCAACGAACGTTCAGCGTAATCGTCTGGTGAAACATGACTTGCAGGTGGCCAAGCAACTGCAAGAAGAGGAGGATCTGAAAGCACGTGCTCAAATCCAGAAACACCGAAAAGACTTGTGAGTTTGGGATGGAGCTTTGGAAATGCTAGTCCCATTTGGTCAGGGCAAGGAATCAGCTGCTTTGATTTGAGTTGATTGACAGTACATGGGATTCAAGTTGATCAGCCTTTTGCAGTTGTTTCCTTTTTCCTTTGGCTATCTGTTGCCATAAAACTATCGATACTAGGCTCTGGCACAGAATAAGAGAACAGGGTGCGAGTAGGTGGTTCTGGGATCCATCCTGGCCTAGATTCTCTTGGCTGACCATGGAAAGGAGCTTTCCTGTTCTGCTGCCTGTTGGCAAAGTGAGGTAACTTGGTTACTTGTGTTGACTGTCTCTAGCGAAAGTCTGAGAGAGAAGAAACCACACCACAGAAATACACAGTGTTACAGTGAATTCTCTCTCTTGTGGAAACTGCAGATACTGGCATTTTACGTTGTGCCTGATGAGTGATTTTGAGAAGCTGGTGCTTTTTGGTGTCCTCCTGCACTGAACCAGCAGAAAGTCCTTGCTTGTGCTTGTAGATACTCCAGTGTGAAGTGACCTGGGAAGAGGAGCTGCTGCCCCAGGGTCACTTGATGGACATGGGTGTTGGGGGACGGGTCTTCCCTTGCAGTCCCTTGACTTCTGCAGCAGCTGTGGGAGGATATTTAATGTCTGATCCAGTTTGATCTGCAGGTTTGCTAAGGCCCCACACAGCAGATCTAATCCTGTGTAGCCTGTGACTTGGCTTTCTGTGTGCCATGGCTCTTAGGCTGTGGAGCTGGTGTAGAAATGAAACGTGGCAGTGCAGGGCAAACCAAACTGTCCTTTCCAATCCAGGGTTGACATTGGTGCTTTATATTGTTTGTTTGCTTCTTTTCTTGTTTTCTTCTCTTGCAATTTGTGAGATGTAACAAATGGACTTCCCACTTAGTCTCTTGCAATTTGTGAGATGTAACAAATGGGTTGTGTGAGAGGGCTTAGTCAGATCCCAATGATGAGAGACAGGAGCTTGGCTTCTGGTGGGGCTCCCTGCAAATGCAGGGTCTGGAGGCCAGGGTACATCTCCCAGTGGCTGCACAGCCTCCCAGCTTGTGTCTTGCTCCGTGATGCCACCCACCAGGTACAGTTGGTGGTGCAGATCACAGATCCTTGGTGGCTCGTCTGGTAGAGACAGCGATGGAATAGAAGAGCTCTGTGTTGCAGATGTGAGATATAGGACAGGCTTCAAAGGAGCTGCTCGTAAAAGATTTGAAGCTGGGGTGTGACAAACCATCCACTGTTTCAATGTTCCCAGCATACTCAGGCAGCACTGGGTAAAGACGTGCATCTCTCAAGTCTGTGCTTTCTTTCAATAGTTTTGTCTTTACCAATTAGACATGTGAGCATGTAAATGACAACATAAAAATTAATTTTGTATGGCAGAGATTATTCCTTTCTGTTACTTGCTGGGAACTGCAAACAATTTTCTTGTTGTAGGACTCAGTAAAATGGGATTTACAAACTTTGTGAGCCAAGTTACAGGCAGAACTGCTGATGCAAAATGTTGTGTCAGCAGCAGTTCTCCTGAACTTGAGCTCTTCTGCAAAAATAGTAAAGTTAGAAGCATGCTTTTGTAATTGGATCTTTTTCTTCCTTAATTCTTTGTATGTTCCTACTGTCTCTTCCTTGTGCAAGATCAGCGTGTTCTGGCAACAAAATCACCTTCATTGCTTTCTGTATGGTCTAGGACAGTTTGACACTGCGAGGTGATGGGAGGGAGTGAAGGGGCAGAACTGGGTGCTTTTTAGAAACAGGGAATGGAAGAAAGCTCTTGGAATTTAAGGGCTTTCTTCTGTTTATCAAATTCTAGATTCTCTCAGACTTTGTGACAATAAATGAGAGGATAGAAGTAACTTTTATTCTCTCTTTAAGAATTCAGGGAAGCATCAAACCTTATTTTCGTGCTTCTTTAAAAGCATCTCTCACATCTAGCTGAGCAGCTTGCACGTTGCCAAGCATAGTAGCAAGTTTGCTAAGGTAACTGTTGGAAGTAGCGTGAAAATATGCTCTTTCCTCGTTTTGCTCCCAGAGCCGTGATGGTTCTGTTCCACTAATGTGAACAGTTCCTTTGAATGGTTCCTTTAATTTTTTTCTTTTTTTTCCCCTCCTCATCTGGCAACAATTAGTTGCTGCAGCCATTGTGAACAGGAGCTTTCTGATTACACTGACTTTCCTCCCACTCTCCTCTTCTTCCAAAACTGATGTGAGTTTCCCTGACACACTTGACACTCCTGGCTGCCTGGGAACGGAGGACAGTTAGGTGTGATGTTCAGGGTCGGAGAGGTTTATGTTGTTCTGGCTGATTTGTGGAGACTGATGGGCACACTAAAGAAAGAGCCGTTAAAGTTCTTTAACTTATTTTCTTATGCTCAGTCAAGTTGAAACACTAGCTTATATTAACAAAGTCTCAGTATTTAATTACCACTGAGCAATAAAACCAAACATCTAATCTTCTGTTGCTGTTTAGTGGTTCTTAGAGACTGACACAGTGTGTTCCTAGATGCATGTCATCAGGAACAAGAAAATGCTTCTGCTTTTGCATTATTTCTGGTGTTCTTTGCTGTGAATGGAGAGGGGGTGACCTTGTTGCCTTGGCTCTGAAAGACGATTAGCTGTTTCTGTCTCCTGTTTGTCTGCAATAAGATGTATTTTAAGCATTTAGCAAGTCAGTTGGTGCTGGTGAACTTGGCACCTTAGCTCTGTTCACAGGTGCCAGGGGAACTGGAGACGTGCAATGCCTTGATATGTCTGACCTTTCTAACTTATTTTCTACCTGGATTCACGTCCTCAGAGACTGGGGTCATGAGGGATCCACTGTCTTAGGCCCACTGACAGCCTGCTTCCCAGGATTTGCACATTCAGCCATGGTTTTGCTGGGGACTGGTTCCCTGCTGGTACCAGGTCTGCCAAGGTCCCTTTTTATATGGCAGGTTCAAGAACTAGATTTGCTGCCGTGTGAGTTTGTGTGCCTTTGAACAGGTCTCTCCCTGAAGCTGAGTGAAATGCACACAGGCACACACACAAAATGCCAGGTTTTATTACCTGGATGAAAGAAACTGACGCCTGAAAGTGTTTAGGCTGTTGATAACTCCAGCCCTACACACACTGAAATACGAGTGCCTGCCAGGTCTCACCAGGGACCTAGCCTACCCGTACTTACTGCTGGCCAGATTTAGAAAATAGGAAGTGCCTGCCAGGGTATTTCTAGATGTGGGTCAGTTTATGGATATGCACAAGCATTTGCAAGTGCGGTGGTCTGGGAAAGGGAAGGAAATGTCATGTTGTAACAACAACGTGGGGTTCATGTGTGTTTAGGGAAGGGAATATAAATAACACGCAGTACCCAATTGCAGGTCTGCTTCCAAGGAGCAGTTGACAGAAATAAAGAAGCTTCTTTTCCCTCCTGCTGCATTTTCCTTTTCATTCCGTATGACAGGCGAGTTATTTCTTGGTGGCATTTGTCTTCTAAGCCATTTTTTTGTTGCAAGTGTCCTCCCTCCCCACCCTGTGCCACATATCAACTCTGTCCATTTCTCTCATTCTTTGCTTCCTATGAAAGCAGGCTTTGTGGTGCCACTGACTGCTCTGGCCATGGCACTTTTCTCTCTTTTGCTACCAAAAGTGCTTGTCTGCACCTACTATCTTAGTTTCTTCCACTCACATCCTGGACTCTCTTCCAGTCCTCTGCCTCCAAGTTCGCTAAGTCATTTATGCCCTGATCCTTGCTCAAGCCTAGAACTAGTTGCTCCAGCCCACATAGCATAACTTTGACACAGCTGAATCTGCTTCTCTTGAAATATTTGCTTGACTTCCGTAATAACGCACTTGGTAGTCCTTCCATCACCCATCTGATCGTTGCCAGCGTATCCTTCAAAAGATTGGATTCTAATGGAGCAAGCTCTGCCTGTTGCTGTTCCCATTCTTATCTCCTCCTATGCCTTGCCTTTCAGTCGTCTCAATTGCAGAGATAGCTTAGATTGAATTTTCTTTTTTTTTTTTTTTTTTTTTCCACACTGGCACTGTGACGATGGCTCTTTCACCCCTCGTTTTGATGCATGTTGTTCTCTTGGCACCGGTTTTGCATTTGTGTCTTGTCCCACCTCAGCATCATTTCTCATGCATTACTGAACTGCCACCTCCAACCTCTGCTTGGCCTACTTATTGTATTTTACTGTCAGCATTTCTGCACTTTCTCCTTCTTGGCTTTCAGGTGAAAATCACTTCCCAGAAATGCCTGCATTACCCAGACCCCTAATCCCCTCCTTCGGCATCACACTTACAACAATTCCTCAGCAGAATTGGGCTGTTGGCAGACTTCAATGTGCTACCTTGGCCTGCCCGATCCTGTGGTACCTACCTCCTTTCTTAGCAAACTGCCCATGAATCTGTTTTTTTCTTGCTTATTTTCTGATTGTGAATGGCTTGGGACCTATTTTCTAAATCTGGCCAGCAGTAAGTATGGGTAGGCTAGGTCCCTGGTGAGAATTCATAGGCTCTGCACTAATACCGAGTAATAATTCTTCTGTGTACATCAGATGTGTTCTTTAGCTCTTTTATCCCTTTCTCCAGGCTGACTGATGCCTGTGACTTTTTAGCTGCTTATAATCCTTGTCTTCTTGCTTTCTAGAGAACGCCAGGACTGCGAGATTGCTCAGGAAATCCAAGTGAAGCTGGTATTTGAAGCAGAGCAGCGCCGCAGGCAAGAGGAGAAAGACGAGGTAACCTTTAAAGCTGCAGGGATCCAGGGCTATTTGTAGCAGCCCTTTCACTGCAGGAATTTCAGTCCTTAGCCACAGGAGATAGCTTGGATGGTGTCAGTCCTGCAAGATCCTCATAGATCTCGGTATGCATAGAGATTTTGGGGAGTCCTGTTACAGGGATAAAATACAGTCATAGTCCTCACACTAAAGGGTCACAAGGGTTGTTGATGCCAGTGGCCTTGCTAACGAAGAGGGCAAGTAGTATGTGGGTCTTGCTGAGGTGCTCGCTTCCCCGGTGTAGGAAGTTGTAATTGTTTATGCACTTTGAAATCTGCTTGCTTTCTCAAATGCAAGGTAACAAGTGCTATTTCTGTGAGCATCCTGGGTTGTGATTTCTTCATCTTTGGTGCAAAGACTTCAGTGGAACTTTCAGCCCAGTCAATCATCTCTGGCTTCTCCATTACCTTATTTCATCTTCACATCCTGAACACTCCGATGTGGTTTCTTGCTAGCAGATTACTTTTGTTATTGCAAAATATTGTTCATCTGCTGTTTGCTTGAGAGTGGGTAGTGTAGATTGTCCATGCCTTTCAGAAGACTTGGCTTGTTGATTACTTTATTGTGTTAGCCTGTCAGATGAGGTGTTCAAGAAAGCCACAGAGTGGAGAAACACTTCTGTGGGCTTGGAGTGCAACCCCATTTTTCACTCCTTGTGGCGCTTTCTCTGTAGGAAGAGCTTAAACACAAGGCTATGTTTCCTAGAAGAGCCTGAAAAAAGAATCTGACCTTACCTTGACAGATGCATCAGTTTGCTTGTGCAATACTTCATTTTCTTGTTATACCATTAAGTCCAAACAGGTACTAAAAGGCTGCCCAGGCAGGTATGGAAGGGCTTCCAAGAGGAACACTGGCTAAAGGATTTGTGCTATAAACATGACCAGCTACCTTATTTTTTGGGAAAGTGAAGGGGTGCAATACCACTCATAGTGGCTGTGGGAACCCCACCTTTCCTTCCTGCTTTCTGTAGAGAGCTGCCTGGATGGCAGCAGTGTGACAACAGCTCCCTGCAATGTGTCAAACCTGCCTATTGACCATCTTGTGCTGTTGGGAGCAGTCTTCAAATGAACGTGGGTCAAAGCAATGAGGAGAAGTCACAAATACTCTTTCTCTTCCTGCTGGTGTGTGGGAACCATGTACCAAGTGTGGCTGAAATGTAGCTGTGGGCTGAGAGGCTGCAGCTGGTACCAGCATGTGGTGCTGCTGCCTCTCCTTGCAACAGGATTTCTGGAGAGCTTGAGTTAATACTGCTTTTCTTCCAAGGTCCCCACCAGTGTTATTTCGTTTGGGTGGACTCATCTGGTGATGAAGAGCCTGAGAGAGGCTGCACAGTGCCTCAAGGGGTTATCAGCTAGCAGAATGACAAACATGTAGCTCTCAGCACAGTATCTATACACATACCTTGCAGGATGCTCTGTGTTACAGCAGAATTGTCCTCAGGCTGGGCTGGTCATATATTTGCCACACATGAGAAGGTAGTAGGTGCCCAGCATACGCGATAGCTCCCTGGTATTAGTAGTGGCCACCAGTGTGATGCCAGTGCTCTGCTTGAGGCAGATCCAGTCTGCTGCTCAGGGTATCTAAATGAAGTGCTAAGCCTCCCTGCTTACAAGTCCAGTTTGGAAGAGATGGTTTGTGTGGATTTGCAAGTCCTGAGCTGTCTCAGTCCTGGAGATAATGTGCTTAAGCCCATGTATTTATAGACTTGCTAACTGTACTTGCTAGAAGAGGTTAAACTTGTCAGGAGAGAGGAAGTGGGGGGTTTTCTGGTGGGGTGGGATTTCTTTTGGGGTGATTTGTTGGTTGTTTTTTTTTTTGGTAAAGAGCCTGTGGAATCCCCAGATCCTCCACAAAGCTGGTCACTAAGCAAATCCAATCTGAATCCAGAACTAATAGTTTGTACTTGAAGACCCATCCAATGTCCTCCAGTGCTGGCTCTGGAGGGTGCTGGCTCTTACTTTGCATTTCAGTGATGCTTTTCTTGCCTGCAATGTACACTTTACATGCATGGTTTTATAAAGGTCCTGAGGATTAGGGAGGCTTAAATATAGCATCCAAAGAGCTTGCCTGCCCTGCTGGTATCTTCCAGCTGTTCTTCCAGGCTTCAGACTACCTCCACTAACTCGCAAGCTTCTGGGCCCCAAATGAGCAAGCTCCAGGTAGCTGTTTGCTGTTGCTGGGCCTTCTTGATCCATTAGTCAATCTCGAAGGAAAACCAATTAGAAGAATGGAGTGCTATTGTCTTTGATGACATATCTACCAAAACTATGACAGAAGATAAACGGCTGCAGTCCCCGCAATGCTCCTGCCTTGTGCCTCGTCCTCTCTTCCTCATGTCCCTTTCAATTTTCTTTTCCTTCAGCCTCTGTCTGTCAAATTGATGCATTTCCCTGCCTGGCATCCTACAGTCCCTGTAAATTACCACTAGTTTGAAGCAAGTTCGTGAGTTGCTCTGGGAACTCCTTGCAGTCCAAAGTGCCTTCAGCTGGAGACAGCCTTTGCCTCTGTTTTTTTCTTTCCCTGGTGGAATTCAGGGGGAGGTCCAGCCAACTTGGGTGAGCAGGTGTGTGCTTTTGTGACTTCCAGACCCTTGCTGAAAGTCCGAAGTTGCACACGCAGTCCCTTCTGCCATGCTGTGGCAGTTATGGCTTTGCAGGCTTGTGTGCAGGTGGAACAGCAAGCTGCGAGTCTGCCATGGGGCTGGAAGCTCAGCGGTGGGCCTGAGTGAGGTTGGATACTGGTTGCTGAGATAATCCCTTGTGTCAACCACTAAATTGGAAGCCCCATCCAGTCCCCAACCCCATCCAGGGGTTGAATTTCAAAGTAACCCTGTAATTGCCATGTCTGAAAAATCAATTAGGATTTTTATAATTGAATAAAGAATTTGAATAAAAGAATCTGGAGATATTTTTTGGGGGGGAAAGGTAATGCCTATTTTCTTCCATCTCTGCAGGACATTGCCCGACTCCTACAACAAAGAGAACTGCAGGAAGAAAAAAGGCGCAAGAAGCACTACCCAGAATCCCAGGGACATGCAGTCTATGAAGACAGCTATTATGCAGAAAATGGAGGTATGTTTCTGATAGTTAAGGGATTAAGATCATGATGGTATAGGTGAACCTGTTGATCTGGCAACTCTGTTTACCTACAGTCCTGCATTCAGCACTGTAGCATTGGAGCAGTTTCCAGAGTCAGGATCAGACTTTATTCTAGAATCAGGAAATATTTTGGGGGAAAAAAAAAAGTGGAGTAGACAATTTTATAGTTTTTGATGTTATAGAAGATGGGCTGAAGGACGGTGGTAGGATGTGTGGTGTGTGTACATGCAAGCACACCCATGTTTTGAAAGAGCTTGTGGAAAAAGACCGTAGCTGATAGTACTGATAAGCCACAGTTACTTTTCTGTAACACTGCAAGCATTTGGGGGGGGAAGTAGATGTAATTCCATGCTTGCATTCGAAGAGCAACAGTTCCATGTTCTCATCTGCGATGCTGGCACAGCTACGTGCATAAAGGAATAAATGCTTGTTCGTAGAACGGCCTTTCAAAAATAACTCCTTGCAGGTATGTATCCAAGCATTAAAATTAGCACAACCACTTTGAATGACTTACTGAATAACAAGGTCATCTCCACAGAATGCCTCTGCTGTGATTGTCATCTGGGACTGTACGTTGTGGAAAAGATATGACCCACAGTGCTGTATTGCTTTCTCTTGGTTGGCTTTTACGATTGAATACAGACCTTCTTTAAATTAGGAGGAGAGAATCAGGGTGTGTTTAATTATGGAGTAATCTGGGAATGGCTTTGCTGTGCCTTGGTGGTGGTTCTTGTGTTCTTTCTTCAAAAAAGAAATGTGTTGGGGAAGAGATGGGCTGCTTTTAATTAACAGATTGTGAAGATGAAGATCAAACCTTTTATTTCTCTTTGTAATATCAATGGCATTGGCGACTTTAAAGGTCTTTATTTGAACTTACACAAAGTATTTTAGTTTCAATTGGGAAGAAGTTCAAGGATGAACCAAGGATGGCCAAGAAAACACACAACACAAAGTGCAAAACAGTAACCAAGTGGAAACTTCATGACCACAAGTCCTGCTACATGTACAAACCTGGGAAAGACTTTGATCTTGGAGTCTTATGGCCAACCCACACTTCAATTTTTCAGAATTAAATGGGATAAGTCCCTGAAAAAACCTAATATAGGGTAGTAGTGTTGTTATGCAAAGATGGTAGGACAGGATGGATTTCTGTAACAGAAATCAGCTGACAAAAGCCTGTGACTCTCTGAACTGAGACTGTGGTGTGGATTTAGAGAGCAGGATATCTTGTGGGTCTAATTTTTCTTCCTGCAAAAATCTGTAGTCTCAGAGGTGAGGTGGAAGGTGTTCTGCCTGACCATTCATAGTGCTACTCTTCATCCTCAGAAAAGTTCCAGAAAGGACTGGGGTGGATTGTGATGTTTGGATCATCTAGTCCATTGATCTGGAACCTCTTAAATATGTGGCCACCATGTACTTAGCATGTACTTAGCACTGCACTTTAGCATCCTCAGTTTGCATAGTCCTCATTACTTGTGAACTTAAAAAAAGCCCTTTGTTTGATTTTGAGTCTGTCTTGAGACTGAATAAAAATTCAGCCACATCCAGGAGGAGTGTGGATTAGGTCTATAGCTCCAGAGCAATCCAAGCTCTTAAAAAGTGGAAAAATAAACATGAAAAAACACAGAGTTCCTTCCAGAAGTGTCTGTGCCATGAAAAACATTTCTGTATTCACTCAGTCCCTTGCTGCTCAAGAGAGTAACACCAGGACCTAAAGAGTGTTTATACAGCCCCTGTGGAAGGTGCCACAGGAACCAGTGCCTGCTGAGGAGTTAATCACCCTGAGATACCCCAAAAGCAAACCTTCTGCTCGGGCTGTTTGGCATAACTGTGTTACCTGCACCGATCCTGTCCCAACACGGCCACACTTTACTCTTTTGTGATCTACTGCTCTCTGCTGCTGTATTCATTGAACTTTCCTTAATAAGAAAATTGAGTTAATTCTTAGACCCTTGTTGTTATAGTTCAAAAACTGCCTCTTGCTTTCTGGTTCTGGTCTGCGTTGTTCAGTAAGTCATGTCGATTGTTTCACTGGATATTTGTTTTCTGTAAAACACGTGAATGGTGTAAAACTGAATAGAAAAACCCACCGGTTAACAGGAACTGCTGTGGTTACTCTTATGGTTCTTGGATTTTTAAAAATATACCTGTTCTGGATAAAAGTCACATGGATTTGTTTCCAGGGTAGTTTTTCTGTAGGCTGTGTTTTTGCTGGCTCTGATAAAGTTTTTTCTGAATAGAATGACTTGCAGGGAACGCTCAGTTTTGGTGCGTGGTTTCCTCCTTCCCCCCGACTCCCCTCCCCGAAATCTAGATGATTGTAAGGAAAGCAGAGTAATTTATTAAAATAGAATGCAGTTTGTGTGCAATGAAATCTATTTTGAGGATTATTAGATACTATAAAAAAAAAAATCTCAACAGTGAAGGAAAGAAGGAAAGTCTTATACTGGTGTTTTGGGGTATTTTTTATATAGTTCTGTTTCGAATCAGCCTCTGCTTCAAGGAATTATTTTTTTTTTCTTCAGAAATATGCCTTCATTCTGAAAAGCTGTTTTAGAGATAATAGTTCAGTCAGTGCAATGATTCAATGATTTTTCTTAGCAAATAGGTTGATTGGAAAATAAGTCGATCAGCAGATTGTAGGCAGACTGCTGCATCCTCATAGCTGTGTCAGGCTTATTACTGAAACTAAAAGCAAAGAAAATTTCCACCTGCTTTTTGGAAAGCACAGAGGAAACAACCCTGCCAAGCTGCTGAGCAAGCGGCTTTTCCAGCTACATTGCTGAGGTCAGAGGCCTGCGTTTTGTGAAGTCTTATCCTGCCCTTAAATTTCTGTAGCCCTCTCTGCAGTCAGAGCCTAAAATTTAATTTAGGTAATGAATAAGTGCAGGCTATGAAACTTCTGGGTCTACAAGAGAAACGTGACAGTCTGTGGTGGAAGATATTTGGATGCTGCAGCTATCCATCATCTCATTCTTGCTTTTTAAAAAAAAAATATTTAAAAAATCCCATCCCATTTGTCACTTTTTCTTCTGCTTTATGTGGGTCTTCTCCCCCATAAGGTAAGGCTATTTTCTGATGAAAAACCTGGTGCCCAAAGCCAGGGCAAGGCACTGGTGCTTATAAACCAGTATCCAATCTGACACTTCTTGGCCCCTCCTGACCCCCTGTTGCCTCCCAGCCTCACCTGCATCTTGTGCTCTCCTTTGCAACCCTTTCTCTGGTGGCTTCAGTATCCTGCAGCAGTGACATGTCACCAGGAGATGAGCTGCTCTGCTGGCCGTTTTTCAGGCCCAATGGCATCATTAAAAGCCTTTTATTCTACAGACTTGTCCTTGTCTTAGGAGGTGCTGGGACACGTTTTGGACCTGTGCTTTCTGCTCCAACCCTGTTGCCTCCCATGCTGCCCTGCTGCTGGTCTGATTGCCATTTTGCTGTCCCACGTTATATCCCACAAGCATTATATCCCTGTTATTTTTCCTTCTGATCCTGCCGTGCTTCCCTGGCGTTTCCAGCTTCTCCTTGCCTCAAGCTCCCTCCTCTGCGTGCTGTGAGTCTGGCCTCGCTGAACTGCCATTAACCCCCCCACCACTAACCCGCTCCTTGTTTGTCCCCCCGTTGCTCAGAGCACCCCTGGGATGACCCCAGAGAGAGGGTTTCTGAGCCTCGCAGGGCACGCGGTGGTGACAGGCGCGCACACCGGCGGAGAGAGCACCGAGAAGCGCCCTCACCTGTGTCCAAAGGCACCTCTGAACACAGGCATTCCCCCTCGGAGCGTCATCGGAGGTCTCCTCAACCAAGCAAGGCCAGCAATGGCCATCGGCAGGATGGGAAATCAGCAAGCCATGGAAGGTCCAGGAGACCTCCCAGCCTTGACCTGGAAAGAGAGGCTGAGCATGGTGCCTATGACCACAGCAATAGCTGGGAGCCACAGGAGAGGAGAGCAGCCAGCAGGGAGAAGGCTTGGAGACCTCTCAGTCTTGACCTGGAGTCAGAGCATGGACTCGCAGACCAAGCGCAGCGCAGTAGAAAGCCAACAAAGCAAGACAGAGAAAAGCACCTTCCTCGTCTTGAGGTGGAACTGGAGGCTGAGCAGGAGACCTGGCATCGGGGCAGCAGCCAGGTGATGCGCCCTGAGAAACACAAATCTCGTCACCGGGGCCACTCATCACACAGGACAGTGCATGATGAGAAGCTCCGTGATACTGAACCTAATGATCATAGGAAGGGCGAGGAGAGAGACTGCAAAAGGGCAGGACACAGAAGACCTTCCCCCTCCCAACACGCTGTGACACAGGGGAAGGTGAGAGACTGCCAGCGACACTCAGGTAACCGAGTGATGGGGAAGGCTTACGTACATGTGGGGATGGACCTTTCTGTTGCCCCATCCTGATGTCTGAAATCTGTCTTGTTTCCTCTGAAGATTCTTATCTCCAGTATTCACCTGCAATGTGTACATGGTGAATCCTGCCCAAGTTTCTCCCTTATTTAGTAAGATTCTTCGTACCCATTAATGTTCTTGCTTAGTTTATTTCCTGACACGTTCCATGACATCAGAGAAGATGAGTAAGAAGGTATTGTAGGAAATGGTGGCCTTAGAATCCTGTGTTTAAGAAATAAAACAAACACAAAAAAACCCAATCAAACAAAGTGGCCAGCTTTTATTTTCATGATATATTTTATGCTGTAGTCTCCTTGCACAGGAGGGAAAAAAAAAAAAAGAAACCTAAGACAAAATCAAATGTTATTGTTACACTCGTCTTTTGTTGATTTGGGATGCAGGTCTGTGAGGGAGGGCAGGTTTGCCTAAGTGCTAACAAGCCAGCAATTTCCATCTGCTTTCACTGAAAAGCCTGCTGGCAACATAATCAATCCACTTCATGGAAAATTCAGTAATGGCACTATGTGTCCGACCGGGCTCTGTTTGTAAGATGGGGTTCTTCTCAAATTGTGTACAAGTAGATTTTTCTAGGAAATGGCTACCTATGTGGTGCTTGTTGTTCTATAATATCTTGTGACTGGTGGGCTTTAAAAATCCAGATCCATCTTTCTGCTTTTAAAACCACACTGGGGGCCATGTGTGTCTCATAGTGAAGAGAAGCCTCTGGAGAGACCTTATAGCAGTCTTCTAGTACTTAAAGGAGGCCTACAGCAAAGATGGGGAGGGACTCTTTATCAGGGAGTGTAGTGATAGGATGAGGGGTCACGTTTTAAATGGAAAAAGGGTAAATTTAGGTTAGACATTATGAAGAAATTGTTTACTGTCAGGGTGGTGAAACAGCTGGAACAGGCTGCTTAGAGCAGCTGTGGATGCCCTATCCCTGGAGGTGTTCAAGGCCAGGTTGGAGCAACCTGGTCTAGTGGGAGGTGTTCCTGCCCATGGCAGGGGGGGTGAAACTCGATCATCTTTAAGGTCCTTTCCAAGTCTAACCATTCTATGAAAGTAGGAGTTCAGAGACTTGAATCTATGTCTGTCAGTGTGGGAAACTCCTGCATCTAACTTTTTTTCACTTGGATAAGGTGGGGATGATAATGCATGTCCGTTTCTGGAGATACCGGGAGAGTTATTCTTTGTCTTCATTGTGCAAAGGTTTTCTTTGGGGAAGTGGAAGGTGTTAATCATGTCTTCGTATAACCAGTAGGTTGTGATTTACCCTGATACAATGTAAATCCGAGTGACTCAGTATCCCATCACATTGAGTTGAAATAGCCAGAAGTTCACATCCTCTTCCTGTGGGCCATGGTCGTGGTGGGCTGTGTGTTCCCCTGAGTGTGGGCAGAAGTGATGTGAAAGTAACATTTATTGTTTTCTGAGCAAATGAAGCCTGGCACCGATCAGCATGTGAAGAAAGCTAAGCCTCAGGCTGGCCAGCAAACAATTCCTGGAAATTTACTTTTATTCTTCATAAAGGCAATGGTGTACAGGAGCCTGTCACCCACACTGTTGTTCATTCCAGCATGGTAAAACTGTGTTTACCATGGCCTTGGAAGCACTGGGAATAATTTAACTCTGACCAAACTGGTGCTTTTTGATGGCATTTCTGTGCAGGCTGGAGATTGCAGCTCTTCACAGTTTGGATTGATCACACTGTGACCAGGTCATACATTTAACAACAACATGCCAGAGCTGAAGTTTTCTCTTTTTATGCTAAGATAGTTTGTAAGAGGGGTGTTAATTGCTTAAGATCATTGATCAGTTGACTCAAAACAAAAAGCAAAAAAAACTGCACACACCTCCTTCATTACCTGAAGAGAAGATGGTTTCTTATTCCACAGTTTTATTCTGGGTTGACACATGAGGTCTCTGGCCCGCTTTAGTTTGAAGTTTTCAGGATGATTGGTGAAGTGTGATGGGGGTTTGTCAATAGATTCATAGAAAGTTGTTTTGTTTTTTTTTTTGAGGTCAGTTTGTTACTTCCTTTTTTTTCCCCTTTGGTCTTACCTGATAGGAAGGAAACTGGTATGTGGCCCAGTAGGATCTAACAGGTATTTATAATAATGTGTAAACAGTATAGCTGGAGGCATGAAAGTTTCGAGTGAAACTTACTTTCTCCACTTGGTGTGGAGGACAGACAGGCATCTAGAACATTTGCATACTTCAGACATAAAGCAGAAAGCTCGTTTTGATGTCTGAGATGTCTGAACAATACAGTTCAGACTGCAGATGAGAGGAGAAGGCATTCGTTGTACGTGAGTGAAGTCATGCATTTTGTAACAGGGATACAGTGAGGCTTTTTTGATGGCCTGGTGCAAATAGACTGTGGAGAGATTTTCAAAATGCAACATTTTAAATCACTTGGAGCTGGTTTAACTTTAAAATAAACAAACAAATAAAACTCTGTACTCAAAGCAAAAACTGAACCTTGTATGAACTTCAGAAATGTTTACTTGGCTCTTTTCTCACTGTAAATGGTAAAAATCATTTTCAGCCCAAGGAATAAATTCTCTGAAACCTCATGTGAGTCTGTCCCAGGCAACTTTTGCAGCCCACGCTGCCCCAGCGGTGTGTTCACAGACTCTGCTGCGCTGCTGACAGGTGTTGGGCTGCTCTCTGCTGCCCAGTTTTGCCGGTATATCTGTATCAACGCAGAGCATGGAAAAATTACCATTCCTTTGCTAGCACTGATGTATCAGCAAAGATTGCTTCTAAGGGATGTGGCCTCTTCGGCCGTATAGTTGCATTTGCCATATAAGATGTGGTGTATCAGACCTTTCTATATGCAAAACAGAACCTCCCTAAGGTGTGTGCTGCACCTCAGCTAAAGGTACTCTCAAACCAGCTGTCTGCCTAGGACGCTGTCATGGTCTCTGCTCATCCTGAAGTGGGGCTTTTGCAGGTGGCTGAGGAGACAGTGGAGATATCCTTACCTGAGCATTTGGGAAATGGACAAGTTGATTGTTTTCTCTCAATTCTCTAGGCACTAAGTTGAGGGGGATGCATCAATCCATGTATGACACACCCCAAAGTGAACAGGAGTTGTCTGATGCAGAGATTGCTCGGAAGCTGCAGGAGGAAGAGCTCCTGGTAAGTAGAGAGGGTGCATTAGTCAACTTGAAGGAACTAAGGTACCTAGTGATGACAAATTTAATTTGCAGAGCTTTTATGTATGATGGTGACTGAGACCTAAGATCTTGCTACTGTGCATTCTGATAGTTAGCTTTGTCTCCCGTATGTACACACATGGAGTGACAGCTGGTATCTAGCCAGTAGAACCCTGTTTTCTGAAATAAACACAATTTAATGACAAATGAAAATTAAATTATGAAACCAGACTGATACTTAACGAACATTTCCAGGCAGGTGAATACAGCCTATAGTCAGTGTGGTCAGCCCAGAAGTGAGGCAGGCCAGCACCCATCTTTGAGAGAGAGGGCAGAGGGTGGGCAATGCATTGTGGTGTGGCCTGGAGATAGGTGAGGGAAAAACTCAGCTGGAAAGATGAAATGACATTTTGGTGCTGTGTTGTGAGATAAGTATTGAGCTAACTAAGTATATTTGGAGAGGATAGTAGTGTATTTATATGGGCATCTACTTGCCCTGCTCAGTAGGTTAATGGGTATGAATAATTCAGAAGTGTTACTCTTTTCTCTCTGTTTTTATTGCCCCCTGCTTTTTTTTTTTTTTTTAGGCTAATGAGGAAGACCAGAAGGCAGCTCAAGTAGCCCAAGATGAGGTGAGCAAGAAGTCAAATGTTTGCAGCTAAACCGTACTTGTCCTCTCTGCCCCTTTGGTTGTTCATTTCCCTCCTTGTAGGAAAGCTAACGCCTCCAGTGGGGGGGTTTGCTCCTTGCTGATTTTTCAGGTATATTCTCAGGCTGGCCAAGCCAGGAGTTGCACTGCCTCTTGTAACCATAGCAGGGGAAGGAAATTCATGGCTGTCTAAGAGCATATCATGTAACTGAGTCCCAAGGGAGACTTAGCAAAGATGCTGCAAGATGAACCCCCCCATTGAAAGAAAAGGCACGAAAGGCTATGGCAGTTCTGCCATGTCAGGCATGCTTCATGTAGGCAGTCTTAATTCTGCTCTGTCACTTGATTTCTGATTGCAGATGGGTGAAATCCTGGCTTTGTGCCCTTCCCATTCAACAGCTGTCCATAGGAAAGGATTTAAATAACTCAAATCCACAAGAGTAGTAACACGTTGGTATTTTCCCTTCTAGGAAATTGCCCGACTCTTGATGGCTGAAGAGAAAAAAGCTTTCAAGAAAGGGAAGGAGAGAGAAAAGTCTTCCTTTGAAAGGAGGAGGCATGATCCAGACTGGAGGGTATGTCAAGCCTCAGGAGGTGCCACAAATGCAGTTCTATGTTAATCCCATTTCTAGAGGGAGGTTAGGGTGTGTAGTGAGCGCAAATGGAATGGTGCAGACTATTGCATCCAAAGGGTCTTGCCACTTCCCAAGCGTTTTGGAGCCACCTGCTTGGGTAGATGCTCTTTGGCTTCAGCCTCAAACAAGGTATGTCTTGGGCTCTGTCCTTGGAGGTTGTCACTGGTTATCACAGCACCTTGTGGCCTCCCTCAAGAACTGCAAGTCCTCCTGGTGCAGGACCTTTCCTCTGCTGAAATCCTGACTGTAGCAATAAAAGCAGTAGTTGGTTCAGTTCTTTTTGTGCATCACAGGTATAAGGACAATACAGCTGCTCCAAGTTGTCACTCTGCTTCATAATAAAATTGACGCTATAATGAGAGTATTGAGTGTATCAAGACTAGGTTTTTGTACGAGTAACACTATAGAGGCTTGGCTGGCTGATGTGGAAGGTGATAGGAAACAGATTTCATGGTCTGTGCTGGTGAGGTGCTAAAGTGGGTGTTGTGTTAATCTTGGGTTCAGTTGGAGATAGCTCTGATGTTTTCAGTGTCCGTACTGTGTTTGAGTGATTGCAGGGGCACAGCTGTGTGCAGCTGGGCCCTTATGCTCAGCCCAGCCAAGCGCACAGTCATCACACTGGCTATTTTTGACCCCAGCTTCGGGACATGTCCACCAGCACTGTCTCATATTTTGAGCGAGAACTGAGTTTGGCTCAGCAAAGATGAGTTTCGTTTGCTGGAAAGTAGTCCTGATATTACCACTTGCATGTGTCTGGCTGTAGCTAGTTGTGTGTATAAACTGATGCATGAAAGGACTGCGAGAAGCTGTGGCAACCTCAACGCCCTGGCTGGTGTCTTGCAAGGCACACAGATGAACTCCATTCCTTTCTTCTTCCCATCAGCATGATGCAAGTGAGTCCACGCGCTCAAGGTCAAAAGAAGGACCTGAAACTCAGCGACACAGAGGTGACAGGCCTTCAAGGTGAGCTTGAACCCGCTAGTAAAAATGGGGAAATGCAGTCAGAAGCTGAGTCCTGAGGAGGAGTTGTGGGGCGACCACAACTGACCCACCCGCAAGGGGCTTGGTAGAGAGCAGAGTTTTTGGCACTGAAAAGAGAGGGAGGGCAGAGAGCTCGTGAGGTGTTCAGCGATATGCGTCACTCGCTGTGCTCGTGGCATTTGTCCATATTGGTCTCTGTGCCTGGTGCTGACGGAGATTGATGAGCTTGTGCAGTGACATTTGTTAAATGGCAGAGAAGCATTGAGAGGGTTAAAGAGCTTCTGGGGATGTGAAACCAAATGTCATCTCTGGGCAGGAAGGAACAATTTTCATGCATTTGCACAGCTGCTCCCTTGGGTTCTCGCTCCCTAGTTAAGCCCTGTACACTGCTCGTGCTGCTGTGTGTGGACACCTACCTTTAAACAAGTATGTTGTGCTTTGGGGTAGCTCATCCCAGAGCTGATGGGAAGGTGCTGTAGCTCAGTCGTTCTTCTGAATCACTTGGTACCCTTGTCTGATGCTCCTCATGAGGGAGTGAACTCTGGAAGTGACCCTAGTGGCTTTGATTTCTAATACAGATACAAGCCTAGAAATTCTTGTTGAATTTGCGAAAGAAACAATAAAAGAGGTGCAGGTGGAAGCTGAGAAAAGTCTTATTAATGTGGTCTGGGGTTAAAACCGGGTAAGCATTAAACACTTCAAAATGTTGCTCTCTTCAGTGAGGTTTGCATCAAACTTCATAATGGAAATTCTTTGTTTCCTGACACCTTGAAACCATTATTAAATGAAAGCAGTCCATGAGAAGCAGTAAATACTGTGCATTTCTCACCACAGAAACAGTAACGGGCTGTGCTCAGAAGAGCTGGTCTGCAGGTGGAAAGTCTGGGCCAGACACAGTTTGCAACAAATTGATGGGGATGGACCAGGCAGCTGAGATGTTGATTTTGCCACATTGAGGTTTTTTTCCCCAACGCTTGTTTTTCCACTGTGCTTGGCAGGTCACAGCCTCACCTTGATGACTTTGAACACAGTCGATATTACACAAGCCAGCCCAGCCCCTTGCGCCAGACCCCGAAACCTGAGCACTCTCCTAAAGGTAGGATCAAGCCCATGGCTGCCCCCGCATTTGGGTTATTGGGTGCTGTTTCCCTCAAATAACCAGCCTGCAGGACAGGTAGATTGAAGGAGAGGTGTTAATAGAGAGGAGAAATGGATCTGATTGCCCCAGCAGGCAGACGATGCTATTCAGTGTTCGAGTTGTACTGGCTGAGCACGTTGCAGGCTGAGAGACTAAAAAGCTGAATGAGTTTGCCTTGAGTTTGTCAAGCTGCTGTGATCTCTTAATGATGAATGACTGTAAATCCAGGCAGCAGATGAAGGAGAAATAACGTAAAGACAATGACATGATGGATTTTAGGTGACTCACTAGTATCAAGCAATCCAATACAAGACAAAACCTCACAGTATCACCTGTCTGGCGGGCAAATGGGATGATCAGGCAGAAGCTTGTCCTGAGAACAGGCTTGTTTTGTTCCTATAGCATCTTAGCACTGCTTTGTTGGCTCATTTCCTGAAATCGCCAGGCACGAGCTGTATGGTTAGGGTCACCTTAGCCTGTTTTTTTTAAATCCAAATACTAATTGTCTAGAGCCTCTAGGGGGAAGAAAGGGGCAGCCAGAGTTTGACTCAGTTCCTTGGATTTCTTCCAGCTCCACTGATTGTGACTTAAATTTTGGGAAGTAAACTGTCTACATTTAAAGTTTGGGAAGCTTTTGCATTCTATCTTCATCAAACAAGCTGGAAAGTTGATGGCGCTTCATATAGTCTCTAAACCCAGTGTTTGTTCCATTTTCTTTAGTGAGACTGTGAAATGTGGCTGCAGTGCTGTTCACAGCCTAGAAGAAATGCAAATGTCTGCCTGTCTTGTGGATCTGTCTTTTTGTTTGCATACTTTTGGCCTTTTGGTTTGTTACTACGGGTGGTTCCCGTTTTGCCATTTGACTTTACCAGCGCCCTGGAAGTCACACGACATCCAAGAGGGCAGGGCAAGTAAAAGATGATTTTAGGTAGTATTTTCTTCACCAGGATTTATCCTTACGGACTCTTTTCTTTCTGTTTTACTTTCCAGGTTCCCGTAGGAAGCAGTAAGCTGTGCTAGCCTTTGCTTTGGTACTGACTCTTCTGTAGCAAACATTACTGGAATTGCCAGGCAACTTTCTTGATTCCTTACCCGATGGGAGGTACACCCTCTACTCCCAGGATCTCCTCCTTGTCACCATATTAATAAGGAACACTTGTTTGTTTCAATTTCTTACTCATATGTGATCATTTAAGCAGTGCAGTATAATCTAGCTGCCACAGAACTGTGTGAATCAACAAGCTGATTTAACAGCTCCCTCTTACATTGTTTTCAGGCTTTCCTCTTACTTCTGAGCTTTGGCTGGAGCTTTGACAAATAGACATGCACATACAACAGGGAGGAAAATCCAAGAAATAAGTTGGGTTATGGTAATGCAGCAAGAACGTCAGAAGTACAAGTCCTTTCCATATTAGGGTGACTTAGCAAAGGGTTGTGAGAGTAAAAATGTTTCTTCCTGTGCTGGGTAAGACAGCTGAGCCAACCTGACAGGGTTATGATAGCTTGCAGAAAGGACAGAGTGTATTCATAACGTACACCACCAAAACCCAGAACCTGGGACTAGTGAGGAAGAAATCTGCCTGCAGAACAAAATTTCTTAACTGTTCTATTTCTTTTTAAGGTTTCCAGCAATTCGGGTAGAGTGTGTAACCAGGCATTTAGCTCCAGGATATAGTTAAGAGGAAATACAATTTCAACTGAAATTATACCTTGTGTGCATGACTTTTAAGACGTGCCAGGGAGTTGATGAAGCTGTGAGTTGTGGATTGGGAAGAATCACACAAACAGATTTAAATGCCCGAAGGGACCTCTGTGGTCACCTGCTTTGAGCTTCGGCATGGTAGAAGCCAAGGAATTTTTACTGAAGCCAAGTAGGAGCTACTGTAACTTTTAGCTCAGTTGCTGATGCAGTTGAGTACAGTAACTTGTGTCTGAACCTGCATACATCTTAGAAACATAGGACTAAAGGAGGGCTGTATGGGCATGGAGCATTGCATCCAAAATCTACAGGTACAGGCAACTTTGAGCTAGACACAGGATGCTGAATCTGTGGCACACAGCGCACACAGTATCTGTGCTGTCTCCCTTCTACGCTGCTCCTGTCCAGCACCCCAGGCAGACTCCAGTCAGGATAAAACTGTTGATCTCTGGGGCATAGCTGGGTCTGCAAGAATAAGTTGTCTGTATAGATTTGCTCAGGCAGTGGTTTATTATTTTTTTTAATTTCTTTTTCTTTCAATGGCTTGATTTCCCTCCACTCTTAAAAAATAATTCCTCTTGTGCAAACAAGTAGTCTTTTCCCTTGGCCTCCTCTCATTTCAATTCTTTTGTCTTTTTAATATTTTTTTGCCACTTAAGTACATTTTTAAACTGCCAGACCGAGCATCTGGACTCTGGCTTGGAGTCTTGTTCATCCAGTACGGACTAGTTATTCATTTGGCAGTTTAGGTCATGGCAGCAGCGCCTGGCTGCACTGCCCCTGCAGCCCAGCTTCCTTATTGCCCGACGTCAAGTCTGTCCTACCATGCTCTTCATCTGCTGGCAGCTGCAGTTCGGCCCTTGGGTTTGCTGAGGGAGGGAGGCAGAGCCATAACTGTTCTCACCCTCATCACCATCTGCCTGGGAAAGGCCCCAGCCAGCTCTGTAGAGCTTTGTGAAGAGCACGTGCTGGTGTGGAGCACTGGTAGGAAACTGGAAGAGATCATGACTCTCTGCTCTTGCACTAATGCACAGTTCAAGCTCCAAAGCAGCTGAAAAACAACTCTTGGCTGTTGTCCTTGGTCAGGATAGTTACTGAGGCAAATCGCTAGGAAGACGAGGCAACTCCTTCACATAAGCTGCAAGGGAATGTTTAATACCACAGCATGAGCCCTTGCCTTGTCTTGACCAACAGCTCAAGAAACCTGTCTCCTATCCCTACTAGTGTGTTGGCAGCAATTGTGCTGTGAAGAACCAGCTAACCCCAGTAGATCTCTGCTCCAGGCATACACTAACTAAAAATGCTGTAATGTAGGACTTTGTGCATTGGCAGCATCCCATTAGCTGCATACCCTTGCTTCCAGACCACGAGCTTACTCACCTGTGTGAGCCTTTAGTGACTCACGAGCTCTTGCTTGCTGCTTCTTCTCAGGAAATATCCCAGCCAGCGGCTAGATTGTACTGCCCTTGCCTTGTTCCCTCTTCTAGTTCCGTCTCTGTCCATTCAGAAGTGTTAATGTTGTTTTAAATGATCTGGAAAAAGAGCAACATAGACTGTACTTTTTTTTTTTTATTTTATTTGATAACTTGGGCCAATGTGGCAACCTCATCTGCAATTACTTTATTTTGTAAAAAAATATTTTTGTATTTCATGTAACAGTCAAAATTTCTACTGCTGAAAATGCCATTTTTTTTTTTCTTTTCTGTGAATTTATCCCCTTCATTGCCATCAGAGTATTTATTGTTGTGAAGTGGGATGCCTGATGGGGTTTTATGGACTAATACTTTCTACAGATACCCCAATCCAGGCCCTGCTACTTGTATCATCTGGTGCACTTGAAAACTGGATGAGGAAAATCTTGCCAAATCAGAAAGTGGTTATGCTTTGTACTCACTGTGCATGGGGAAAACTGGTGACCTTCTTTAGAGGGAAGGGGAAATCACCAACAAGGAATTCAGCCCTCCCTGGGCCTCTGTAGCTGGCTGTGATGGGCTTTCTTGCATTGCAGTTGGCTGATGTAACTTCTGTCTTCCCCTAATGTCATGAAGGCCCTGAGCCTAGTGACATTTGAAGAACCTGTTAATTCAGGAGGGATGCTTCAGTGGGAATGAGTAGAAATGATATGAGAGAAAACTCTGGTTGATTTTATTTGGAAGCTGGGTAAAGTCTGAAGAAAACCTCAGTGCTTGCTCTGGGGAGCTGCAGAATCTACTTAATAGACTCCTTGTGCCAGCCAAGCTTTCTAGCCATGGCACCGAGAGACCTGATCCCAAGGGAAGGATCCCAGGAGCATCTGCTGCTTCCTTGGATGCTTTCAGAGAGTGTTGAATGCTTTATGGGCTGCTTTGGTCTGTATACTCCCTTAGTTCTTACCTTTTTATTCTTATTCCCTACACTTATTTGTTTGCACTCCCTTTTTGAGTTTTCTCCTGTTTTATTTTACCATAGCCCTTGTGTAAAGAGGAGCTCTGAGGTTTTGTTAGAAGGGGCTGACATCTTTTGAGAGAGAGAGAAATGCTAGGAACAGTAGCTGAGAGAAGCATGTAGTAAATAGGGTATAAATAGAACATTAGCCATCTAGTATACCTTGTGGGCTTCATGCAGGTTAGAGACTTCCTGAAGCAAAGATTGCAACTGGATTTGCATGTTTAGTAACCAGTTTTGAAAGGAGATTCCGTGGTCCCATTGGAGTCAACCAGAGTTGAGTTACGATCATGGATGAACATAGAACCAAGTCATTTTGGAGCTCAGCTGCCATGGTTCTGCTGAGAATCAGAAAATGCAGCTTGTGTAGGCGAGATGCAAAATCACCACCTTGCAGGTGGTTTGCTGGAAAGAGGCAAAATGCAGTTGATCCTTTTAAAAAACAATCAGAGCAATATTTCCTTTCTATGACAGAAAAATGTTTAAGTAACTCTATTTTTTCCTTGTCTTCCCTTGCCAAGTTTTAGTAGCTTTGCCTATGGTTTTGCTCTGTATTTAACAGCATGTCAGAGCCCTTGTTGGGAATCCTGCCCTGGTCGTTCAGGTCTTGCATCCCTTTCTGACTGTGCATTAACAAGGCAACAAACAGGCACCATGAGGAAAATTCATCACCGTGAAATCCTGGCACTTCCTAATCTCCATAGTAGGCACATCTCGCCAGCAAGAGCTCTCGCCACCTCCTCGCCTCCGTCCAAAGCACACTGGTCTGCAGAAGAGAGGGCGGGCGAACCCGAGTGATCGTGCCTTACGTGCAGGGATACTCCATGTCTTCAGCAGTCTGAGCTGAGTCACCTTGCTACGAAACACTGTCTTAACGTGGACTGTACAGCAGCGAGAAGCGGTTGCCGTCACGTGGATAGATCCAACAGGTTAAGCTCATCTCTTTTGAAGAACTTCGTGGTTTTGAACTTTCGTGGGGTGGGAAAATATCAGCTGTTGGGGAATAGATGAAGTCTCATCGTTGAATTTCTCCTCTTGAGGAGGAAGGACAGAAGTTACAAATGCTGCAGTTTGCTTCACTCTGTAAAAGGGATCTTGTATGTACAGTATTTTTATATCTCTGCATTCCCACCTGTCAGGATTTGAATCAGGATTAACATTCTCTTACTTAAGGGAAAAAAAAAAAAAAAGGATTTTTATTTTTACAGTGATAGACCTTTGTGCGTTGGGTTTTTTTTGTGCCAAATTACAGCCACTGTTACATTCTAGTGTTTTCATTCAGTTTATTGCTATTGATCAATGTGTATATTATATATTTTTATTATCAAGGTTTTTATTTGAATTCATATTAACCTGTATGCAAACTAACTGTGGATTGCTAATTTATATATAAAAGGGGAGCACTTGGAGACAGTGTGAGGATTCCCCTACTTAGTTTACACTCTTGTAATCCAGTGCAGCAAGTCCGTGGAACTCGTTGCTTCTTACACAGGGTGATCTCTGGGGTGTCTGTCACCCCGAGCAGATTGCTCCTGCCATTCCCCCAGGCACTGCAAGGCTGGGTGAGAGGCAATAGGAAATGAAGCACAGCTCACAGCATGGACTGAGGGGTGACCGAGCTCTCTGCTGTCCTGCTCCTGGCAGTGGTGCCAGGGAGGATGCTGCACAGAAATTCTCACCTGGGGTGACTTTGAGGGTTCCTCTGCCCTATATCTGTTCCCAGCTGATGGACAGGTTTGGTTTTGCCCCACTCTCTCAAAATGCTCAGTGAGTGCTTAGTTTTGCAGTTGTTTTGGGAGGTGAGTGTGGGATATAGTGCTGAGGCACAGCAGAACCCCTCGTGTGAAGTGTACCGCAGGCAGCTTGTCTCTTTTGGTTTTTTTTAATGCTAAGGGCAAGCATAAACCTACAGAGATCCATCCCGATTTACTGTACTCTTTAAAGTACGAGCCTTAGCACATTTCTGGCTGTGCAGCACTGCTGGGGGGGCTCTGGCTGTGCTGCACACAAAAGCCTCTTGGACTGCTACACCCAGGACAAGCTGCGGGGCACAGGTTTTGTGTGGAGAAGCTGCACTGCCCTCAGTTTATAGGCTGGAGAGACCATCGGCCATCTCCTCCCCATGGGTAGCACAGGGCAAGGCTTAGCTGTGCAGTTTGGGCTCTTCCAGGAGAGTCCCAGAGAGGACAGTGGCACACACAAATGAGTATTTTCTATTTCACAGTAAACAAGTTCCACTGTATCAGTGTTCACTCTAAGTAGACTCCACGGTGTGTCTCCAGCTGCATCTGTGCACTGCAATAGAGTTAATTGCCTCGGAGAAATAACTGCAGTTGTCTCATTTAGCTCTTCAGGGTAAACTTTCAGCCTGTTGAATCTAAATATTAGCCGTGCGATGAGATGGATTAGTCAGAAGGCTTAAATTCTTCAGAGCTGCAAGGGTACCCTGCGTTGCAACAGCTAATCCTTAAATATCAATTGCGCACTGACAATAAGCCGTCTATGCAAGCCTAGGTTTATTTCTTACTCTTGACTGTTCACTCTATAATTTTATCAGGTTTGGCATAGAGCTTCTGAATGACATTTAACCAAAGTATCATGTCCATGTGTGTATAGCATGTTTTGCTTCATACTCCTGAATTCTCATTGAATGTAAAGGGAACATTGCCTTGCCCTATTTTGTTCAATAAACCGCTGTATTTTGTTATCTATCACATCCTTCTGTCCCTCCGTGTGCTTTTCTGGAACGCTGAAGCGGGTTACACAAGAGCAGGAGAAAACAGAGCTTCGTTCCACCCTTGGCTGCTGGAGCTAAGCTGCTTCTACCAATAATTATGTTCTTCCAGTGTAATAGATGTAGCAAAACAACAAATTTGTATTTAATTTGATTGTTTTGTGGCCAGAGAGATGGAAAAAAAAAAAAAGCTGTGTAATATCTTGGAAAGGATCTGGACTGTTTCATTTCCTGAGACTGTGATACTGAAAAATAAAGCAGTGTAATTATTTGCAAGGGTAGGATACTTTTTTTTTCTTTTTTTTTGTTAACAAAGCTTTTTGATCTGCAAAAAGCCTGCTTGAAGCTTCCCAAGAACAACTTAGACCTGCAGTGATGGAACTGAAGGCAAGAAGGAAAAATGGCAAATGCCCTGTGACTGCCTGGTCTTCGAAGGTATCAGCTGAGGATGCAGCCACGTGCAGCTCAAACATGAGCAGACACAAAGCCATTTCCATGTCATAAATGGAGCTGGTGACTGAACATGCTAAAAGAATGGGGAGGTTACTAAATAGAAGCATTAGATTTTGAGTCCAAACTGTAAACTTTTCCCCCTAAGTCCCGAGTATAACCCATTGCACAGGGGAGTGGGGAGCCCTTTCATGCCCCACTGTAGGGTGTGTCAGGCTGTCCCCCCAGGGGACTGTGGGTCTGTGGGGGAGTGAGTGCTCAGACTCCAACAGAGTTCAGTTTGGGGCTTGATTCGGGGCTGTGTCACAACACTACCCCAGGGCTTTCAAATGCCTTTACATCATCTCTACCTCCTACCAACTCCATCTCACGAGTTCCCTAGGTATTAGCAGTGAGGGGAGGTAGGGATCAGCAAAACAGAAAATTAAATATACCAGGATGATGGCTAGCAGTGGAAGAGCCTTGTTGTAAAAAGAGGGCACTCAGGAGTGCCAAGAGCTCTGCCAACTTACAATTTATTGCAACCTCTTGTCTGAAGTGACTGGGTTGGTCTGTTTTCTTTGAAGGGCTTCTTTCATGCCAGCCTTGGCACTTGGCTTTAGGCGGTGGTGGGAGGGGGGCCAGCTGGAGCCCTGGGTAGCGTCTTTCACCTGCTGCAGGGATGTGCACACAGGGGACTGTATGTGGGAACCATAAAAGGAACATTGAAGAACTCCCTGGGGACTTTTTTTTCTTCTTTTTTTGCTGTATCAGAGGAATTGCTGATCTCTGGCTTGTCAAGTCACACGCAGCTCTCAAACTGTATGGACATGGGTGGTGATCCATTGCACTACTGGTGGTGGATCCAGGTTTCTTAGGTGTCCTCCAACTGTCGGAGCAGGTAAGCTAGCAGAGACTGCTTGAAGTCAGCATCACTCGGTACCCAGCAGCTTCACTGCACACTTGGCTGCTCTAGCCTGTGCTGCAAGGCAGGAGCTGCAGGTGGCAGCTGCCATCTCCCAGCTGTGCATGTGTCCAGATGCTCACCTTTCCATCAGGTCCATGCTGTGTAACTGCGGCTCTCACCCAGAAAAACTTTGGGATATGCTGCTCATGGCTTGGGAGGGCTGAACCCTGCTTAGGGGCCGCCTGTGGAAGGAACTGCAGGGCTGGGGGTGCTCACATGCAGCTGATAAATGGCTTTTCATGTCCAGATGGACAGCCAGGACTCAACTGAGCTGTTGTGTGCTGGCTCACATTTTGCATTGGGAACAGATGCTGGTGGAGAAACATCATTCTCTTATCTGGAACTGCTGGTGCTGTTGTTCATGAGGCAAACCTTGTGGCTGCAGAGTGACCCAAAGCCTAAAGAAGCTGGGGGAGCTGAGATACAAATGGCTGGTTGTACTACACGTGGTACACATGTACCATTCTCAGTTAGTTTCCTGGCGAGTTAGTTGGGTTACAGTTTGCCTGGAGATGGAGAGCATCCTTCTGCCATGTGAGACCCTGGGTTATGCCTGAGACTATTCCTTCTCAATCTCAATATTGAACAAAACCAGGCCCTACATCCCGATTCTTTGTGCCATCCTGCTAGCAAGCAGCAGCTCCTGGCACCAACCACTTATCTCGGTTCAGAGGCACTCGTGTCCATCACCATGATTTGTTCTTTCGGGGGCAGGGATCCTTGAGCAGCACCCTTGAGTCCATCAGTTCTATCCTGCTTCACCCTGGCCAGGTTTCCTGACACAGTTAATAGTAAAACAGATTTAGTATCAGGCTGCAAAGCAAGTACAGAACCTGAGTCTAGCAGCTGGGAATCTGTTGAATGTCCATGCGTCTCTGACCCCAGAGAGCCCCAGACAAGGACCCAAGTGGCTGTGCCAAAACCTGCTCCTGTTTCATACTGGTGCTGGTGTGCAGCAGCTCTGAGCACTGACATTTTGGTTTTCATAAAATCTCCTCTCTCCTGGAGCTGCTTTTGCCTTCGCAATCGTTCTCTTGTCCTGCCCTTTCCCCCAAAGCAGACATCCTAACTCCACCTTGGTGACTCACCTCGTGGCCTTTTGAGGCCAGGCGTCAAACACAGACACAGCTACCCCCTAGCTGGTGCTGGGGGCTCCAGGACCACCACATGATTTCTATTTATGTATAAACAGCGTAATGCCGCATCACAGGACCGGCTATTTTAAATTTGGATGCTGTTTCATTTTTATTAAAACACGGTTGACATATGCAGTGCCTAATCATGAGCCAGAGGAACATGTGTGTGTCTTGCTAATAGGGTTTATGCCTGGATGAGCGCTGCAGGAGCACACCAGGGTCCCCTTCCCTGGGCTGAGCATGGAGCTGGGAAGGTCACTTACTCAAAGAGTGCTCCATGCCTTGGCTCTCCTTCCCTCTTCATCCTTCCCAGGTACAGGCAGTGTCCAGAGGGTGATGACACGGCCATGCTTGTATGTGTCACCAGGGAGTACCTGGGGAGCGCGAGCTTTGTCCCAGTGAGGCTGGAAAAAAGCTTTTTTTTTTTTTCTTTTTGTAGTTTTAACAGTTACTGATACAGCAGCTGGAGATTTACCAGGGAAGGTGGTGTTTGGGGAGGGCATGAGATGTCCAGTTACATAAGGTTTATTCCTACCACTGGCTCCCATCTGCCACACTGCACGCTGTCCTGAGAAGTTGTGCTCAGCCTGTTAAGGGACACACAAACCCCACTCGAGCACTTCATTTATGTATTTTTATTTACTTGTTAATTACTTACAACTGATGAACTACTGAAGGCCAGCCTGAAGGTGTATGTTAATGTCCAGGAACTTCCCTACTGTAAGCTGTGCAGGCAGGTCTGGAGGAAGAGATTGCTTGCAGTCTCCTCTGCAAAGGCAAAGGGAGGCATCAAGAACAAAGATATCTCAGTGAATTTTCTAGTCTGCTTGCAAACCCAGGCAGCTTGTCCTACCGGAAAAGTCCTCAACCGTGGAAATGTGTCCTGTGCACAGACAGGACTGCCCCTATTGCCACAAAGAGCTTGGAAAGGTTGGTGCAGAACATCCCACAGGAGAAGGGGATTCACCATTGCAGCACCTGAGGCAGAGAGGACCCACAGCTGCTCCAAATATGGCCATAATTGCAGATCTGACAGCAGCTGTGTCTTGTTGACAACCCTAGCCAGTAAGAGGGACCAAAAGCATCAGTACAGGCAACAGCTGACCAAAGCTGATCCCTCCAGGTCCTGGTGTTTTCAGTCTTCTGCACTTTAAGTTGTGAAGAGACCAGTGCCCTCGTGCGTTCCGGCTGACAACAGCAGCTCCGGTCAGAAGCAGGTAGGCAAAGAAGGGTTGGTTTTTCTTTCTTTTACAGGCACTGGTAGCTGATTTCAGGAAGATGTCTGCTTGAAATCAGGGTGTGCTGCTTGGGCCAGTCACTGCAATTCAGAAGTCACTTCCTGCTCAGCTAAAAACATTTTGTTTTCTCTAAATATTCTTCCAATTTACTGAGCTGCAGGTGTGCAACTTGTCAGTCTGCCTCCTCCTCCTCCCAACCTGTTCTCCTTTGGGAAATGAAGAGCGAATTAAACACACAGGCTTGAAAACAAACTTAGATTAATAAAAATGAATTATAATAATCTTGAAACAAAAGGCAGAAAAATGCTTTATTTTCCTTTTAAGTGATTTTTCTTTTTGTAGCAATGACAGTTGAAGTGCAGCGTGCTGGGACGCTCCAGAGCAGCACAGTTTATACCATGGCTCTCTCTAGTGGCCAGACCACAGGCAAGAGAAAGACTGTGGAGCTGCTCGGTGGCAGAGCTCAAGACAGACAGGTTTTATTGCCCCAAGGGAGCTGGCGTTCAGGGTGCTGACACCCCCCAGCAGAAAGCAGGGAAGCTGTAGGCTCCCCTCCTGCAGATGTGCCTCCTGCATGGGCTGATCAGGCCACAGGAGCAACAGGTAAATGCAGGCCAAAATCTTACCTGCAAGGTGTGCCAGTGGAGGAACCCATCTCAGACAGATGTATTGATGGTGCTTCAGTCCTGCAAAGCTCTCAGGGTGTAAAAGTCAAGTGCGCTGGGTTAGATGAAGCCATTTGAAGCCCTTCTCAAGTCAAAACACCTGGACTGATGGACTGAGCATCACTTTACACAACTAGATGGGGCCAGTTTTTCACTGTACAGCTACAGTATATTGGTTACAGACAGACTTCATGCTTTGTGTGCTCTACCATCACCTTGCTCCTTTCAGACACTGCAGCTGGGAACAGACCACAGAGAGGATTCCTCCTCTAGGTTGGCCAGCTGTCTTTGGAGGCCTCTATTTGCTTTAGTTTGTTATTTTTTTTATTTCATTTGGCAGCATGGTTGGTAATAACCATTGGCACCTAAAGTACTGATTGCTTGCAGGGTAGTATTTGGGCAATTTTCTTATTGACAATATTGCACATTTTGTATTCATTTCATCATAGAAATTGTGTGCCAGAACCATGGATTTAAATGATGTCAATTATGTGGCAAAGCCAAACACGCAAAAATTTAGGAAATAGCAGAATTGAAATCATAGAGATAATATTAATTTAGCCCCTTTGCCAGTACACAGCGTAAGCCAGGTAAGGTCAGGGTCCGTATTTTTCCCTGTACTCTTACCTCAGCCCCAGGCAAGCTCTCTGGGTGATGAGCTGTGACTATTGCTGTTTACTGCCATCACCTCAAAATAAAGCCAAAGTTCCCCAAAGAGCAGCAAGTTCTGCTTCTTGATAAATAACACAACCACCCACCCACAGCTCCAGCCAGGAGCCAGAGCTTCCACCACTTTCTCTTAGAAGCTCTTAATGCCCTGAAGCAAGTGGCTCCTCCCTTT